AAGCCGAACACAAAATTGATTTGGTAGAGCCCAATGCGTATCGGTTGAATTTTAAACCAGAGGATTTGTTAGAAGGCATTGTAGAAATACAGGCTTCGGGTTCGGGTTATTTGGTGGTGGAAGATGTGGAAGAGGATTGTTATGTGTATTCCAAACACATGATCAATGCTTTGCACAAAGACAAGGTATTGGCTTTAAAAACCATTCGAAAAGGCAAATCAGAAGCCTATGTTTTAAAAGTATTGGAAAGGGCCAACACCCAATTTATTGGCGTATATCATCGAAAATCGACCGAAAAATACGGTTTTGTGGTGGTGGATAAGTCCAAAATTCATGTGGATTTTTACATCGACGAAATGGATAGCATGGGGGCTCAACATGGCCACAAAGTGGTCATTGAACTTAAAAATTGGCCGCCCTATGCCACCTCGCCTTCGGGCACCATTGTTAATATTTTAGGCGATTCGGGCGAACATCAAACCGAAATGCACGCCATATTGGCCGAGTATGGTTTGCCCGCTGAGTTTCCAGCCGAATTGGAAACTTTGGCCGAATCATTGAGCGATGGCATTACCCCACAAGAAGTATCCAAACGACGCGATATGCGTTCGATACTGACCTTTACCATCGATCCAGCCGATGCCAAAGATTTTGATGATGCGTTATCGTTTGAAGATTTGGGCAATGGGTTATACGAAATAGGGGTGCACATTGCCGATGTGTCGCATTATATAGTGCCTGGAACCGCTTTAGACGATGAAGCTTACGCCCGGGCCACGTCGGTGTATTTGGTCGATCGGGTGGTGCCCATGCTGCCTGAGCGATTGAGCAATGGCGTTTGTTCGTTGCGTCCCCACGAGGACAAACTCACCTTTTCGGCGGTGTTTCAGATGGATGAAAACGCCAAAATTCATGCCCAATGGTTTGGTAGAACCCTCATTCATTCGGACCAACGCTTTAGTTATGAACAGGCCCAAGAGATTATAGAATTGGGTGAAGGCACCCATGCCAAAGAATTGGCTTTGATGAATAAAATGGCTAAAATCATGCGGGAAAAACGCCTGAACGATGGGGCCATTTCTTTTGATAAACTCGAGGTTAAATTCAATTTGGATGAATCGGCCAATCCAGTGGGAGTTTATTTTAAACACAGCCGCGATGCCAATAAATTGATTGAAGAATTTATGCTGTTGGCCAACCGAAAAGTGTCCGAATTTGTAAGTTTAAATGCCGACGGTACAGCGTCCAAAAACACCTTTGTATATAGGATTCACGACGATCCAGACCCCGACAAATTGTTATCGCTTAAACAATTTGTTAAGCCTTTTGGCTACGATTTGGATTTGGCCAACCCCAAAGCCGTTGCCCAGTCCATCAATCGCTTGC